TCCCAACTGCAGGAGCAAAGCAGGCCCAAGCCAATCAACATATGACATCCTCCTCTCCCAGACATAGTGATTAGTTTAAAAACACCCACATGGACCTGAAGAGCCAATGAGAAAAAATGAAGCTTTCCTAAGGGTCTGAGAAAAAACCTCTGTTTTCCATCCTGGACACAGACCAGAAAGGGTGGATGGAGGGGCTGGGGGCTACTGTCACCTTGCTGTCACGTGGTACCAGCAATGAAACCAATGCAACAGAGCACAGTACAAAAGAGACAGCAAGAATATTCTTTGGTCCTGACAGCCAGCCCTGTCCAGAAAGCCAGAAGTATTTCTGGACATTACAACTATGTGAGCAAACAAATCACCTTCTTCTTTAAGGTGATTCAGCTCAGAATCTCTTTCACTTTCAACTAAAGAAATCTTGGCTGATATGCACTATTTATATTCATTTGTAATATAACACATGAAGGTAATATTAAATAAATGACTTTTTTTCTATTAAAGCAAATGTATGTTCTGTTGATAAAAGACTTTTTATGTACTACCTATTTACAATGTACAGGTAGTTAAGTTTTGTGATTATACTAACTCACTATACACAATTACTCTTTTTCTGCTATTCAGTCTCACACAACAAATTTTTTTTTTCACATACCAAATGTTCTATGCACAACATCCAGAGTCAATATTATGTAAACCATGTGAGACAAAAGGCCAACATAAGAGGAAGGGGTGTATGTGACTCAGATCAAATAAAGGGCAAATATGCACAACTCTGCCAGGCATTTAAATGAATTCAGCTGTATTAGTTCATGATTCTGTCATTATCAGGTTTTATATTTAGTCATGATTATAAAATGAGTAATAATTTAGAACAAATGAAGACAATTTTAGAATCTTGAATATAAATTAACAAAATTACAATAGTAAGGCAAAGGAATTTTTAAAATTCTATCAGTAGTTGAAGGAGTCTTACTTACTAATACTTTCACAAATCTGTAAAATTATCCTCATCATTAATTCTACCTTATTATAAATGCTTCCATAGGCATCCAACAGACATGTTTTTACTGTTTTGCTAGAAGGAAGTATATTTCAGCTCATTTTGAGGATGAATCTATTCTATACCACTAATTCTATCCAGGATTTGAAATGAATCCTTTGAAACTGTAGGATATAATACCAAAGGACATACCTACCCTAAGAAAATGATGCTACTGTTAATCAATTCACACGCTTATAAGAATTTTAGTTACACTATACTAACGTTCTGTATTAGGGCTTTCAACAACTGTGGTCATCTTACAGATCTGATTCATTATTATCATGAAACTCATTAGCATTTACACTAAATTAAAAGCATAAAAGATGAGTAACTCATGTTATATATACAGGCTAAAGGAGTAGTTAATTCAAACAAGTGTATTAACATTGCTATACAACTAACATTGTATATACCCAGCCTTATGGTTAACTGTGCCACAGAAAGATAAAAGAGTCAAAGAAGAATTTAGGCTCAGAAAAAGAAATGTGACAAGTAAAAATACATTACTGGTCCCACCCCAAAGGACTTGGTATTTTGGAAAAGATTTAACTCAGATTATGAACCACAAACCATGACTTAGAACTTAGAAATTTTTTAAATAATAGCAATAACTTTATAAGTTATTTTTCATTCTACAGAAAAATGCTACAAATTTAAATCAGTAAACAAAATACTTTTTGAATTAACTGAACCTCTATAAACAGAAATTACTATTATTCAATATTATCTTAGGATCTAAAACATTGCTTAATCTAATGTACATACTTGTCTGTTTCCAATTCTGAGTGTCTTCAACCTAATAATACTTCGGAATTCAGAGACATCTGATCATTTTTAATTTTTAGAATTAAGGAAAATAATGAAGCAAACAAATGGGAAGGATTTTTGTTTGGGGGAGGGAAGGATTTCTGGACATTATATTTCCTATGGAAGGTACTCAACAGAATTCAAAAACTCAGGGTATTGATACAGTTTACTAGCAATAAAGGAACAATTATCCTTCTGATGGTTTGTCTTCATTTGCCAGGTAATGAAAGAAAGGAGAAAATACTAGAAGCATACTACCTCCTCCCCTAGATATTGTCTTCTCTCCTCCCCTAAACAAACAAACTGCACAAAAGAACTTCCATTTCTTTATCTCCCCTGAAGACTTTGGACTAGGGGTCAGCAAACATTTTCTGTTAAGGGCCCAACAATAAGTAAGCATTTTTGGCTTTGAGAGCCAGTCCATCTCTGTCACAATTACTCCATTCTACCACGATGCTGTGAAAGCAGCCATAGACAGATGATACATAAATGAATGTGTGTGGCTGTATTCCAATAAAACTTTACTTACAAAACTATCAGTGGGTCATTTTGATCTGAGGGCAAGCATCTGCCAACCAGTGCTCTATTCTAAGGTTCTTTCTCTTAGTCTTCCCTGGTGCTCTGATTTACTGCAGTGGCTTTAGTTCCATTTATGAGTCAATGACACAATTTGTTTATAAGGCCAGATTTCTCAGCTCTAAACTCAACCTTCTCACTGACAGCCCCACATGTGTGTCCCACAGGCTCAATGTGTTCTAAAACTCAAGATCTTCTCTTTCAAGCATATTTCCATCTCAGTTATGAATTGCCATATACAAATTTGTCTTTGCCAGGAATCTAGGAGTCATTCTTTACTCACCCTTCTCTCACCTCTTCCATATTTTATAAAATCATCTCTAACAACCAATCAAATCAGCCTCCAACCCTTCTGCCACCATCCTTATCCATGCCTTCATCTCTCTCTTAATTAATCTCTCTGCATCCACTCTTGCTCATCTCCAAACTATCCTCTCTACATGACAGCCAGAATGAGTTTAATAAAGCATAAGCCTAATCATACCACTTTCTTATTAAACCTCAATGTCTTCTCACTGAACACGGGATAAAATCCAAAATCTTGAATCCAGCCCACAAGGCATGATCTGGACCCCTGTATGCTACCAAGACCTCATTTTTACTACCCTTTCTTATGAGCAACAGTCTCCCTGGTTTTCTTTCAGTTTCTCAAATGCATCAAGTTCTTTCTGTTGGACATCCTACTCTCTCTACCTGGAATGTTCTCTTTCTTTGTCCTCCCAGGCCTCCCATTTTTCACTGAGCCAACTCCTTACCAGAAACCTATCAAGCAAAAAATTGATAGTTTTGACTACCAAAAGTTTTAAATGTTTCTACAGTAAAAATAAAATAAATAGGTTGAAAGACAGACAAAAATTGGGGAAATGTTTAACATATGTAAGATAAATAAGACTAATTCTCAGATATAAAAGGAGCTCATACATCAATACAGAGAAATGATAACAAACATTAGTAGAAAATGATCCAAAGCCATGCATGCGCAACTCAAAAAAGAACAACTATAGTGGCCAATTGGCATATAAAAGGTATTCACAATCCCTAGTAATTAAACACACAAATCAAAACAATTCGATGTCATTTTTCATTTATCAAATTGGCAAACATTTAAAAGATTCAGGACGTGCATCTGCTTACCATTTCAAGGTCCAAACCTTAAAATAATTGTTTGCTCAACACTATCAGAAGTAAATTTTTAAATTAAAAAAAATTTTTATTTATATTTTATCTATTTAATTTATTTTACTTTATTTTTTATTTATAGTTTGGTTAAACTATAAGGTGCTGTTGCTCTGAAATAAACACACTTGAAAATAATTAGTATCATGTAGATTATGTATATAGACATAAAATGATCTAACTGAATAAATCCTCACACTGGACTATTCTGAGCAGACACCAGTTTATCTTTCCTTCTACATGTCTCCTGAGGCAGGGTGGAAGGAGTTCGAAGAGGCAGCCTAGAAGAGCAACTTTGTCCTTACCCATGCCAATTAAATTGTTCACCTTCGTTTCATTTCTACATTTTTTACAGCTTTAATGGCACTCAATACATTACACAAATTATTTAAAAGAAAAATGAAGCAATATAAAGTATCAACAGCTTTTAGAAAGGAAAGAGTATGCAGAAAACTGTCTTAACCCAAATGTTTATTTGTGGTACATCAAATAAAAGAAACATGTTGTACCTGTTTTTAAATATGTTTTAATTTCATAAATTTAAATACATAATATAAATGTATGTGTATAATCCATAATATATAATTAGTGGGTGTTCTTTTCCCTCAAGCTTATTGAAAACTAGAGTCTAAGAATTCTTTCTGAACAATAGTATGATTCACTCGATTCAGCTCTAATACAAGACTAAAGTTACTAAGAAATCTCCACAGTCAAAAACTGTTTTATAGTAACAGTGTTCTCAATGGAGAAAATGAATTGGGGGACAGGAGATTTTGACTCAAAATTACAAAATATTTTCCTATATAGCTGCAACAACAGTTTTATACCTATAGCCTATAACATCTAGTATCACTAAGCAAATTCAGCCTTTGAAGATATTTGACTTTTTTGTCAAAAGTATTTTTTTCTTTGATTAAAAAAATTTTTCTTTTTGATTAAAAAGTTTTTCCTTTATCAACTTATTTTTTTGAAAGTATAAAAGTAAAAAATAAAAAGTGATGATCTTACTTTGTCAATTACCATAAATATTTATGATTAATTAGCACATGTCACACATTCTTCTAACTTTTAGACTTACTTCGTCCTGATAAATCAAGGATAAAGGCATCTAAGCAAAGCACCTCAGGGGCCAGCAAAAGGAGTTAGATTGGTTCCCAAATTTGAGAGCTTTATGACCAGGTATGGTCTGCCTAAGATGAACCATATTTGTTCATTAATAGTTGAAAAGGAGTCCAGGCCTGAGTCTTTCCTGTCTAGAGGTTGGTAAAGAATGAAAAATCTAAAAAGCACAAAGAATAGTATATAGAGCCCCTTTTTCCCTCCCAATCTAGGGTGCACAGCGCCACCTACTGGGGAAAGCAAAGCCACCATTCACTACAAGCAAGGCTCAGTGATTTACCTGAGGCTGAAGCAAAGCACCCAGGGATGTGGGGAGACCAGATTGTGCTATAAACGACACTTTCATGGCCTCTAAAGGTGCACAGAGACTTTTCAACAGTTGGATCCCACTACAAATAAATGAATAGATCAATTACTTAACAGAGGTAAATTCAAATTTATGCTTTTATGTATACAATATATACAAAATACTATATATATATATATTTATATATTTACACATACGATATACACACATATTTCAAGGATTTTTTAAAGCCTATTTTCATATAAAGCTAGATGGTATTTAAAGAGCCAAAGTAATCATGCTGAGCTAATAAGTTTACAGCCAAAAGATTAGAAAATTATAATTTCTAATAAGTATTTTTTTGAAAAGAAAATTAGGTGTCTAATTCAAAAACTACTGAAGTACATTCTAGAAGCAAAAAAAAACTGTAGAAGCTTTCAGAACTGAGTATTTGGTTTTAAAAACAGTAATTCTGACATACCAACTTGATAGTTTGATCCCATGAGCCAGACACCACAAGCTGTTCACCTCTGGTTTGGCTCCAATCAACACTATACACCTAAAAAGCATTTGAAAATGTCATTTAGGAAGCAAAAGAACATCAACTTCATTACTGTATTTTGTCTCTTTATGACAGTGATATTCAGTTAAAGCAACTAATTCATTTCACTTAAACATCACATAAAGTCCTACAAATCTAAACTTGGTGTCTGAGAAATCATGTTGTCCATTCCTCCAGATTTATTCCTTACATATAAAACTCCATTCTACTTTAACCAAATTCTAAAGAATATTTCCAAACTTCACAGGAACAAATTATAAAATTATACATATCTTTAAACTGACCAACAAACCACTGTCTGGAACAACCTGAAGAAATGTCAAAGAGATTAAAAAGTTAGTCATCTAAAAGCTCGCCAGGTCAATGTTTATCAGAAAGCATTAAAATTCAATTAATTTCCCTCTCTGGCCTTTCTTAGAAAAAGCTTATAGGAACCAGGTAATCCTTTCAGATCTCTCAGTAAACAGCTTTAGTTATCCAATGCTGCTATTCAAATCTATGCTTCACTGTTCTCAGTGAACCATTTTAAATGAACCATTTGAAAACTTATGGAAATATTTTTCATTCTGCCATTTTATACAATAGAGTATATACAGATCACCACTTTAAGCCAAGTTCAATAACACAAGTGCATAAATATTTTTTATGAAAGTAGTCCTGATGTGGATCCAAGTATACATCATTAAATGTGATTAGCCAGCAGATTATTTTGAATCTGAAAACTCTAGCTTATTTATGGAGGAAGCATGAATGTCTGCAGCTTGTGGTGGCTTAAGCATGGGTAACCTGTTCTCTACTGCCTAGTTCTATGCCTAGCCATGTTGGAGCCTGAGTAAGAGAAAAAAATCAGTAACAGTGATCCTGTCGTTATTTAGAACTTTAACTACTGAGTGTTTTGAGGTCTGTTTAACTGCATACCCAAGGTGAGTGCCTCACCCACCCTATCATAGTCCTGATCCTGCTGCTGCCCATGTTCTTAAAAAGAGAAGAACAGCTGGAACACTAAAGAAACCATATTGCAGCCACAGGGAGCAGAAGGAGCAGCAAAAACCAAAGAGCCATTGCAGTCATTGGTGAGTTACTGATGAAAAAAGACAGGTTTGGAAGCAATCACTGAAGATCTTGAGAGCTAAAGAGTTTAATGCTATCCTCCAGGCCAGGACTCAGCAAACTTCTTCTGTAAAAAGCCATACAAATATTTAGGCTTTATGGGCCATTCAGTCTGTCAGCCCTATAGAGCACAAAAGTAGCCATAGGTGGTACTTAATAAATGGGCATGGCTGTGTTCCAACAAACCTTTATGTACAAATCAGACAGCAGGCCTGGTGTGGCCCTGGCTCATGAATAGTTTGTCACCTCCTACTCTAGGCCAATGTGAATACTCAAAAATAAGCAAAATAGCAAATATTTATTGAGTACCTACTATGTGTCAGATGTTGTCATAAGCACTTTATGTATTTGACCCCATTTAATCTTCACTTCTATGAAGTAGATACTGTGCCAAGGTCCAAAAAAGTTAGGTAAACTTGTCCAAAAATTCTAAAGCTAGGAAGTAGCAGAGCTGAAATCTCAAACTGGGGAGCCTAATTGCAGAGTCCACCCTTAATTATTATGCTGGGCTGTCTCTACAGCATGCTGCTGGAGGGCACTTTGAATTGGAACTTCTTGGTGGCCTTGAGCTGCAATACCGGTATCGCCCTTGCAGCCCACACTGATTCCATTCCGTCTGCATGAATTAGCCATATCCATGAACTTAAAGCCTCTGTCCAATGGGTGAATTCCCACTCATCTGTCAAGACCCAGTCCCATTTCATCCTTTATATAGTAAGGGTCCTGATGACAAACCCCTCAATGAGTTAAATGCTTCCTTGTACACTCCAACAGCATCTTGTACTTACTTATAATTTAGCATTTACCATATTTTACTAAAATTTGTGTTAAATAACCGCCATACCTGGTTGATTTTGGAAGTCCCATCATAAGCAAAATCATCTTGTATATCTATGCTCATTGCAATACAACAGGCACTCTAATGATATGAGTTAAGATAATTTATCCAACTACATTTATTTTCACCACCTGCAAGGCTGCTAAGTAGTTACAAAGAGCTACTGTTTTCATTTAGAGGATAACTGAACAAATGTAACTGAAAACTAACATCAACAGCTCAGTTCCACGGTCCTGTACACATTTCCAACATGATGCAGAATTTGAAACTCTATGATGTCTCATCTTTTAAAACTACACGAGCCTCCAGAGGCTCAGAGAGAAGCCAGAGAATTTGGAGAGCCCTAAACAAAAGAAAGGAGGTAAGAAAATATGCTGATGGCAGTGTTGCTGCCTGATGTTTTAATCAGTCACATAACGAAGTGTAAACATCAGGGCTCTAGGACAAAACTAAGGATAGAGACACTGGTGAAGTTAAAAATGGGACAAACGAGAAGGAAATAAAGGAAACCCAATCAATAAGTACTTTGTTTTACTGTGTATAAAGTATTAGGACATGGTAAAGTACAGTACAGACAGGATACTATGTTTTAAAAAAAAGAAACTCTAAACATAAACACAAGACCAGTGCTGGGATGGAAAATCCCACATGATACCCGTAAGACAAGGATCCATGCAGAGGCTAGAGGACTGGCTAAAATGTCAGCAGCAGAAAGCACAAGGGAAAAGAGACACCAGAAACAACTCTTCCAAAGACATAAGCAGGCACAGAAAGCCCCCTAGGGATCAGGACCAGTGAGCACTGCCATGTCACACTAAGGTTTCATGCCTGGGGACTGTCAGTGATCATAGCATCAACAAAACTGGAAAACTGGAGGAAGGAAGATAATGTGTAATTTTAGACATACTGAATATGAGGTGACAGCAAGATAGTCAAGTGGAAATGTCTAGAAGCAACAGGGTTTGGGCATTAACCTCAAGCTCTAAAAAAAGTTTACAGATGGAGGGATGTTTGGGAGACACCCAAGAAGAAGTGAATGGATTCCACTATCACAACTTCAAGCTAATTCACTAATCTAGACAAGAATTTAATAAACACCTACCAGGTACAAGACAGGGGGAACTGGGATACAATATTAGACAAGACATATAAAGTCCAAGCTCTCATGGATCTTACGTTTTTGTAGGAAAAGACAGCTGTAAATAAATAAATATGTAATTTTAGATTGTGATTAAAAAAAAAAAAACTACAGAGAGAAATAAAGCGAAATAGGGAGACCAGAAAACAATGACAAAGGCAGGCGGGTTACTTCTCAATACAGTGGTCAGGGAAGACCTCTGTGAACAGACCTGAGTGGAGTAAACGAGAGAACACTGCAGATCCGAGAGGAAAGGCTTCCAGGAGAAGAACAGGGAAACAACCTACAGCAGGAAATAAGTTTGTCCTGTTTGAGGAACCAGGTCAACTGGTTAGGAAGGACAAGATCCCAAAGGGCTATGGTTTGTACATAATTTCTCTTAAAAGGCTACAAATATCAACCATAAGCTACCACCTAGATTATAGCATCCTTTTAACTGCTTTCCCCATCTATTCTTGCTCCTCTCCAATCCATTATCCTCATTACATTAAAAACACAAACTTATGACAACCCCTACCCCCAGAGGAAGCCCTTCAAAGGTTTCATACTCCTGCATATTACCATCTTCACTCAAAATTGAGATTTATCCATGCCACTGCTTATTACCCAAAGGTCAAAGTCATGTAGAACTATGCATGATTTAGGGATGCATTCATAGGTAGTAAAATTAAAAGGAAAAGCAAAGAAAATGGAAACAGAAAATTCAGGATAGTAGTTACCTCTGGGAAGAAAGAAGGAGAGAGAAGGATAGAACCAGTAACAAGGACCTCCAATGGTGTAAGTAATGTTTTATTTCTTAAGTTAGATGATGAATATACAAATGTTCATTATACATTGTTATATATTATGTACATGTTATATGCATGAAATATTTCACAGTAAACCTTTTAAATCTTCAATGTCTTTCCATTGATCTGAGCATAACAGCCAAAATGTTAACTGTTCCAGGCACACAGGCTCAATCCTTCTCTTTCAAGTATGCCCTTTGCTTTGCCTCTAATCCTGTTCCTCTGTCCTCTCCTTCTGAAGAGTTAATTCCTACTCTCCCTTCATACTCAAGGATACCCTCCCTATCTGTCCCCTGGAAAAGATCCTCCCCTCTCTTAGCACTCTGCCCATTCATACCAGTTATCACACTAGAAATTAGATAACCAGCTGAAGCCTCTCTCCCCTAGAGAAGACAAGGACTCCTAACACCTAACAGAAGGGCATGGACTATGCCCGACGTGTTCACTTCCCCACTGGGCCTAGTACAGTCCCTTGCAGACAGCAGAGTTAATCACAGTTTTGGAATGAATGAAGGGATAGAGAAGCAAATCTGAATGGAAAGCGCATCTCACACTACTTTTCCTTCCTTTCCCTATTCCCACTTTACCCCTTCACTCCCTCTCAAATAGTGGGCATGGGAAATGGTCAAGTATTAAAAAGAAGAAAGATATGCACTTAGGCTTTAAAAGCAGGATCTTCTAAAGGCCTATCCTCTGAAATTATTCTTGGCAGTATTGAAGAAAACTGAGAAACTGTAGAAAGGAAAAAAAACACTAAACAATATTTTGTCCCACTTAATGAAATCTGAACCTCATCAAAATCAGTTTGAAAGGACAAATTTCATTACTGAACCAACTCCCAACGAGCTCATTTTTAGTCTACTGTATAGTACTTCCCTTTTCAAGTTGGTCTATTTAGTTAAAAATCATTAAATAAAAACTATGTCCAGAATATTCATACTTACCTGTATCAACACAAAGGAAAAGGACATTCATTTTTAATTACTGAGTGATTAGAAAGGGCTACATAATTCTTTTAATGTGAAACTTAAATTTTAAAAAAATTTTCATTATAGAAATTTTTAAATGTACATAAAAATAGAGAAAGTAGCATAATGAATCCCTGGTATCCATGAGATACCTTCTATAATCATCAACATTTTGCCCATCTCATTGCATCTGTCCCATTATTGACTAATTGACTGACTGTTGGAGTATTTGAACATCAGACTATTTCACTCAAACACTTCAGAAGATAAAGATGTTTTTCTTTTTTATATAAACATGAGGCCATTTTCAAACCTAACAAGATTAACAACAGGTCCTTAATGTCATCTAATACTCAGTCCATACTCCTATTTCCCTGATTGTCTCAAAAATGTTCTTTTGCAGTTGGTTGATTTGAATCAGGATCCAAACAAAATTCATATTTGACATTTAGCTGCTACGACTCTTAAGTCTCTTCTAATTCAGGATAGTTCTCCTCCCCAACCTTGCTTTTCCTGTCCCCAATCTTCCCATGCATTTATTTATTAAAGAAACAAAATGAATAGTCCTGAAGAATCTTCTACATTCTGGATTTGGCTAAATGTTTCCTTTCAGTAGTATTTAACTTTTCACTCTACCCATCCTGTTTCCTTTAAATTGGAAGTTCCCAACCAGCCTTGACCTTGACACAGTGGAAATTTCTGGATTAGGAACTTAACCTTCTATGGAATGCTGTTACTCTTAGGGTCAAGAGTTAGGCCTTGGCCTCAGTTTTCTGAGGTCTTATCCCAACAGATAAGAGCCTCTTTATGTTTTACCAAGAAAGCCCTCCATCTTTCATCCTTAGCTCTTAAATGCCAATTAATCACTGTTAGCTTTTCATTATCTTTTCCCAAAGCTTTGCTGTCCTTTTTTGAAAAGAGTTTGCTCCATATTTATCAAATGCCAGACACACCAAAGGGCTTGTGGTTGCCTGAACATGTCATGCTCATTTACAGATCTGTACCTTTAAAGATGCTCTTTTCTATGAGAAGTGCCCTTTTCCCTTTGGGCTGCTTGGCAAACTCCTACTAATTGCCCAAGACTCAGATCAAATAGCATCTCTTTTGTGACAGTCGTTAGTCCCCCCTCACTGTATCACTTCTGGACACTTCTTTTCAACATTACCACACCATATTATTATTTTTTAATTAAAGTATCATACATATACGATCTTATGTTGGTTTCAAATATACAACACAGTGGTTCAATAGGCACCCATATTATTAAATCCTCACCCCCTCTAGTGAGGTCACTATCTATCAACATAGTAAGATGTTACAGAATCATTAATGTATTCTCCATGCTATACTACCATTCCTGTGACCAACCTGTATTGTGATTGAGAATTATTGACCACACTATTATTAAATGGTTTGCTTCTTTGTCCCAAAAGTACTACCAGAGACTAGCATCTGAGTCTTATGTATATTTGCATCTTCAGTGTCTAGCACATGCCTGGTACATAACAATGTGCCACCAGTACAGACAGATCTAGCTCTTTTAGTACAAGTTCAAAACTTTAAATACTAAAGAAAGCCCAAAAAAGTGAATGATTTTAAAACATAAGGATTAAAAAATGATGACAGATATTACATCCTATTCATAGTGAAATCCAAAAAGAGAAAATTGATTCAACTGACACCTAACTAGAAATTATTTTTCTCTACTATCACCATTATCGGGGGGAAAGTTTTAAACTACTATTTTAAATTGTAGTAAAATCTTACTGCAGTAAATTAATCCAGAAAGAATGGCTGAGCATGATTAAATATGCAAAAGGAAATATATCAAGTTCACTTGTGTCCTGGAAAGAAGCTAAGAAATAGACAGATCTCTTTGGCTGACAAATTTGTTGTACAGTTTTAAATGAAAATACACTTCAAAAGGGAACAAACTGGTGTTAAATGCATGACTGATTGTCATTCTGAATTAAAATTTATTATGGGTATCGATCATTATATTCTATCCTTAATAAAGGGGTAAAAAATTATTTTTTTTAAAGAAAGCAAAATCTTAACCATATGGCACTTCTTTACGATATATAGTTAAATGCATTTTTCCCACGAGATATTAGTAGTTGCATACTCCATTCAAAGGTAAGTTTTTATAAGCAATAATCAACTTTAAATGAATCAAGTATCTTTTTTATTTCAATAAATTGTTAAGCCTTACTATTTGACAATGAAGAAAATGTTAGCTATTTTTAAAAATTATAATAGGCACACTGAAAGCGAGATATTGAAATAAACATTAAATTGAGTCAATTTGCATCTTTAAAGTCACTTTCAGCCCACTCTCAATAGCACAGGACTGCACGTCACAAAGTAGAGAGAAAATGCTCAATCCACTCTCTTTTTCTTCTTTTCCTCACTGAACTATTTTAAATTTTACTTTTTTTCTACTCCATTCAGCAGCCGGCTAAGCTAAAGGCATTAATGGGGCTGAAAAGACATAATGGCTTTGTCAGACACCTGTTAATACAGAGAAGAATCTGATTCCTGCTTTGATGCTAAGTTTAGAAGCCATACACACAGATAATGTCCATGGTTTTCTTTCTTTTCATTTCACCAAGACCTTCATTCCTAAAGGCCTAAAATACATCTACATGTTGGATTGCTCTTTTTGCTTCAGTACCTACTCATCTGACTGTCTGAAAGTTGATGGCTGGACTTTTCTCAGACAGCCATCAAGTGGTGAAATGGGTAATTGGAGTATTCCTAACTTGTTTCATATTTTTCTAACCCTATACTAATAAGAGCAAATAATAATAATGCTCCTATTTATTCAGTGCTGGCTCAGTTCTAAGCACTTACAACAACCCTATGATACAAACTACTATTCTCCTTGGTTTGCAAATGAAGAAACTGTATTTTATGAAAAATGAGTAACTTGTCCAAGGTCACACAGCAGGTAAGTTGCAGAGTCAGGGTTCAACCCTAGATTGACTGAAACCCTGCTATTCATCCTCATTCTATACTCTGTCTCATGGAAGAAAAGAACCCATTGTTTGCTATTCTTGAATGAATTGGTAGAAAAAAATAGAAGTCAGTTACACTCATTTACTTATTAATTTATTTAACAAATACATATTAGCCCCTCAAAACTCTCTTATTTGAACTTAAATCCTTTTAAGTGTTTCTGAGTATTTGGGATAAGAGGCATACTTTGAATAAAGGCTGTATTTCCCCCAAATGAAAATGCCAAATATTTGGTATTATAATACTGAGCTTTAAGTTGATCACCAGAAATTCTTTCTCTTAATGATCTATAGAGGATGGCCTATGCATATCCTACAAGTTCTCTATTCATCACTTTGCTTGGTGAAGTTTGATTTTTACTAACAAATGTGAGAACAACAAGAAGTAAGGTTGTAGCATATAGTGAGAAGGGGAAAATTCCCTTTTCCACTTTGCTCACAGAACCCTACATTGTGTCCTTTGGGGAAAGCTCTGTCCCTTTCTCAGGCCAGGGCTGACTCTTGTTAAGTGAAAGTAGGAGTAGGGGCTTTCCCTCCTAAGTCCAGGGTAAGGAATGCATATATGATGCTCTTCTAGCCACTGAGATGTGACTAGGCGGGAACCTTCCCTCACTCATAGAAGGCGTCCCAAGACAAGAACATTCACCATTTTTGCTCTTTGATTTTTACACTTGAAACTATTAGAAACATAAGAAGAAAAGAAACCCACTGAAGACAACAGAGTGGAAAGGCTGGGAGAACTTGGGTATTTGATGGCGTTAACAGGCCCTGAAAACCTAAGGCAGAACCTATTCCACCCCCATGTATTTGATCATGTGAAATAATAAATTCTGATGTTGAATCCACTTTCACTTGTATTTTCTATTACACTAACAGCCAAGGTATCATAACTAACACAAATGCTTACCAAAAATTACATTTGAAAAGAAATAAAGAAGGACAACCTAAAATAATAATCTGGAAAAAACTCACAAAGCATGTTTTCAGTTCAAAAAAACCAGTTACATAATTATAGAATGATATAGAATGATATAGCCTTAGAATTTAACAGCAGCACAAATAAGAAAGATCAAGTGCTTTACTGTGGACTAAAAGTAACGCAACACTATGATGTGACTGAAAAAAAAAAGTATACAACCATGCTAGGTAATATAATTAGAAACAGGTTCAAGATTATGGTGGCAAAACCATATAAAGCCCATTCTCACAAAATTAATCTTTTATTGCAAAAGACTAATATGTTTGCATCTCATAAGCATTTCCTGAAGGCTTCTATGGTCCAGGCAACTGTGGTAGACACAAATTTGAAAGTAAATGTGCAAGTTTTCACTTGAAGGATCTACAGCTTCCTTGGAGAAAATTTAAAACTATTAAAGGTAAAACACCAAAAGAGGATGTTTTTACTTATCACATTCATTAAGAAATATGTACGTATTTTACATGACTGAAGGCCAGACTATTTTCTATGCTACCCATTCACACACACACTACCTAGACACATGAACTAGATTTAGATCTTAAAATTTCTTCAGTAAGCTCTACCTCATATTCAGTACCGATGCTCTTGCTCCAATGAAAATCCTTAAGAATCTTAATGAAGCCCTAAAGGCAATCTTGTGATGTCTTTGTGAAAAGTCCACCTACCTCTATCTTAAGGCAACACATGGCAGACATATCCTTACAGCATAAAGAAAAAGATGGCTCTCTCTGAAGAAAATGGTGCCACAATATGCTTACTACTGGAGGGGATTTTACTGACTAATGAGAAGCCTGACCTTTTCTTCTTTCCTAGTTCCTTAGGCCAAGATGTATTTTATGTATGAATAATCAAATAATAAGTGACATCTAACATGTAAAAGAAACACTACAACCTAAATTTCTCATCCCCAGAAGGTATTTCCCCATGTTTCCACCCAAATGGATTTCATCCAAGGAAAACAAACAGCCCAGAAAGACACCCTTCCTACCTCCTGAGAGTGCTCCTTGTAGACCTGCAGTGGCCCTGAGGCTTTGGCGGTGTCCCAGAGCTGCAGCGAGCCGTCACCACTGCAGGTGACCAGGACATGTTCATTGTTCTCACTCCAGGTCACGTCAAACAAACCATCATTCCAGTCAAAGCTATCTCAGGAAAATGAAAAGTAAAAACAACATCTAGTTATCTAGGCAGCTGAACATAAAATTACAAGCACAATTTTACAGGTTTTTAAAGTTTATCACATATTTTAACACACATTATCTCCTATGGTCTTCACAACTATGGGATTTAAATAGAGCAGGCACCTGATGGATGCAGAAACAAGTTCAGAGAGGTAAAAAAAATAGCTTAGGTCACATAGCCAGAAAAACTGCAGAGCTAGATTAAAATTAGGTGTCTCAACTAGAAATATGGCACCATTTATATGAGGGCATGCTTCCACACCTGGGGACTCACTGTTCTTTGTGGTTCATAAGGAGGGACCAGCAAGCACTTCAAAATATTAATTTAAACCAATAACTTCAATTTTTTCCTGTCAATCTTTCACCTGAGCTATGAGCAGGAGGAGGTATTTTCTGACAGAATTCCTTTCCTTTCTCTACCATTGATGGAGGTGTTAACAAGTTCAACAGGCACACAGACAAGACAGAAATGGAAAGAAGAAAGGGGAAGAGGCACTACATAATCCACAAAACGGATTATTAGCTCCTGAATGAGTAAAGCTAAACTACATTAAGAAGACAGCAAAGATAGGAATGTCACAAGTTATACTATCAGGCTCATTTTTTTTATATTTAAGCTTTATAATTTATAAATGGACACTAAGAGACAAAGGCTTTAGAAGAAAAATGACATTATCAACATTTAATGGCAAAAATAAGTTCTACAGTATGCAAATACTGAAGTTTCTTTTTCATTGCAAATTTAAAAACTAAATTATTTTATTGATCAAAAAGATTCAAAACATAATTCTGGTAAGACTTTAATAGCAACAGTTTAATAATTACAACCACCTTACCTTCTAAAAAGCCTAAGCCCAGATTCATTTTGATCCACTATTAGCAGGGTTCCACAACCTAAGGAGAGAAAAAAAACCCAAGGTCATGCTACTGAACCTGCTGGAGGACCATCTAAAGTAGAGAAGGAATCAAGTAACTAATTTTACTATGACAAATTTCTCCCTACAGCTATTGAGACCAAGTATACAAAATGATCAGGACTATGCTCTCCATTTCTATCATTCTGTATGTGCTTCAAAATCATATATTCAACTTACCTCACCTATGCTTGGAAATCAGACACAGCCCTCACAGGGGGGAGAGATATTTGAATGCATACTCACCCCGGGGAGCCAGGCACACAAACCCCCAAATAGGTGTTTCCATCCCTATTCACAGGTGAGAAACCCTGGCCTACAGACCCCGGGGACTCTACTCCTTCTGCTATATCCCACTGCCTCGCCAAGCAATCTAAAACACATTCAACGTGTGATTTTAAACAAAATACCTGGAGGAATTTACCACGTATTTGGTAGTAAAGTGCAGAACACAGTCTACCAGTTATCTAGCAAAGATGGACTGCTTTACTAAGGGATCAACGTTTAAGTTGTATTTGTTATAGAGACTGAGAAGGAAAAAAAACTCTTCTGTTTTAAATTTATTGTTTCAATTACCAACTTTTTAAGATTTTTTTTAAAGGATTTAACCTAAAATGTCATTACACCTAATGAACCTTCAGCCTAACTGGTGGTCAAGTATTGTAAATCTGAATGCGCAAGCACTGAGAGCTAATGGTGAAAACCTAAGAAAGTAAATATTTCTCCCCGTTTGAGTTTTAGGCACATGGATTTTTTGGCTGTAGGACCAAACAAAACCACCAATAGCTGACATTATGCAGTGACTTGTTTCAAAGAGCTTCAGCATGCAATTAATAGCTAGGATATGAATTAAAATAAGAACAAGACTGGATCCCGCCTTCCAATGTAGCCCATCACATGAAAAAGTTAATCTGAACCCCAAACAACTGCTTGCATTTTTTGTATGTATTCCTCCTAAGAGAACAAAAGGTGAGGGTAGAACTTGAGAAATCTTGTGACCTCGATTACAGGGAGCGTCCAAGCGTCTACTCGGGGCACCCTTCTTACGACTGAAAGCCGGAGTACAGACTGGGGAACGTGGACCACTTAGGTACCGGGGTGACCCTGCAGACCGTCTTCCAAGGGCTGTTAATCCCGTCAGACAGGCTGAAGGAGCCACATAGGCTAAACCCGCTCTCCGCAACCTGCTTGTGCCTACGGGTGTGTATTGGGTGGCGGCGGAGTCCGTGCGCGCTTAAGGAACAAGGACAGGGGCCACTAGGAGCCTCTTCTATGTTACTTCGGTGCCGGAAAAGCTGAGAGGCGCTGTTTCCAGACCAACTCCCCACAGTGGACGAAGGAGGAAGCGGGAACTGGCCCGTTCCTCGGCTCCCCCTGGCGATCATCTGCATCACTGTCTACAGTCGGAAGCGGTTTCCGAACGCCCGAGAAGCCGCGGCTGGGCTGGACCCCGGCCCCGCCCCCGCCCCGGCGGCGCGGCCTCACCCGCGATGCCGTAGTGCTGCGCGGCTGCGCAGGCCAATCGGCCCGGCAGGTACGGAGAGAACTCGGCCGCGTAGCCGTGACGGCCGGGCACCCGCAGCGTCCGCACCGCTCCGCCGCGCGCCGCGCTCATCCCGCCCGCCGTCTCCGGGCCTAGAAGCCCGGGCCGCCGAAGCCGTTCCAAATAGGAAGCCTGACCGTCCAGACTCGCTAGAACTAGTTAAGAGACCCAGGAAGACGAGGCGGAAGTGAGGATGCCGGCGTCTTGAATGTTAGATTTCGATTGGTCCGCAAAGGAAAGGGTACTGACTCCGAGGGTGTCCATTTTTATTTTGGGCAAAGTAAACTGATCCGCGCCCTCTGTAGCTTTCGGGTAGTCATTCTAGCGTTGAGAGGTAATTTTGATTTTTGTTTTTGGATATCATCTTCCACGGCGGTTTTTATCTGTTTTTTGTCAATTCATTAAGTTTTTGAAAGACTGTCATCCGGAAATGTTCCTGATGATTACAAAATGAGACAAGCTACAGCAACTTTGAAGTCAGGCCGTGGGTCCAAAAGGCAATTGACTGCTGTGTTGACCAACTTGAGGCAATATTAAATCAGGTGGGAGTGAAGCTAAGGAAAGAAACCCATAAGCAGCTACTTTTAAATTCTCACTACGTATATTGTACGGTAATAAGTGCTCAGATGCAGGGCTAATTAAGGAAAACTAAGGCTTATTCATTCATTCATTATTTCATTCAAATATTTACCAACTATGTAGTATGTGGAGGGTGACCATATATAATTTATCTGCCAAACAAGACACTTTTGAGAGTGAAAGAAGGTGCAGTTGCTGATTTAAGCCAGATGAACAGGCACAAACCTAGTCATATGGTCAGCTTAACTACACACCAAGTACAGGGCTAGGCACTTGGGATTCAAAAGCTGTAATATATAGGCCATCCGCTCAAGAGATTAGTCTAGTAGGCATGACATTAGTTAAGTGTAATCAAAATACTATAGGTGCTATGAGAAATATAAGATGGCCTATTTAAAAAAAGGAAATTGTCAGTGCTGGAGAATGGGGGGAATAGAAGGAAAAGCTTCAGAAAGGAGGTAAGGTTTGTGATGAGTAAATGATGATGAGGTTTTCTTTAAATAGACGAGATGGAAGTCACTGTAGGAGCAGAAATAACGTAAGCAACCCAAAAGACCTAAACAGCATGATCCATAGGAGATTGGGGCTGCCAGGACGCAGCATGGACAGACAGAAGAGGTATAGTGAAGAGTATTGAGTGGAGGAACTGGGTGTTGTATTGGGACTGGTTAATGGAGAGTCTTGTGTGCCATACCAAGGGAATTCCATTTCTACTGTAATATAAATGATAAGGAACCATTAGAGTTTTCTACTGTGAGAAATTAAATGACCAAGTTTTCCTTTTAAAAGATCTAGCAATGCTAATCTAGAGGACAGAGATTAGAGATGGGGAGGCCAGTTAAAAGAACTTACTTAGCAATAGCTCTAGCAAAAGATAAGAATTTGAAACAAAGATGATGATGATGGGAGTGGAAAGCACGAGTCAGATGAAATTTTAAGACAAAAGCATGATATATGAAAAATAGGAAGGAGTCAAAATGACTCCCAGATTTTTGACTTCAGCGTCTGGATGGGTGGACTGTTCACTGGAATAAAGATGGGAAAAGGAGAGGTTTGGGAAAGAAAATAAACTCTTGTTTTAGCTTGTTGAATGTGAATATCTTTTTTTCTGATATTTTTGTCCTTTTTTTTATATTAAGGTATTATTGATATACAATCTTATGAAGGTGTCACAGGAGCAACATTGTGTTTTCAACATTCACCCATATTATCAAGTCTCCGCACACACATACACCCTGCTGCAGTCACTATGAGCTTAGTAAGATGCTATAGAGTCATTACTTGTCTTCTTGCTGTACTGCCTTCCCTGTGACCTACATATAGTATGAGTGCTAATTATAATGCCCCTTAATCCCCTTCTCCCTCCCTCCCCACTCACCCTTGCCAACCCCTTCCCTTTGGTAACTGCTAGTCCCTTCTTGGAGTCTGTGAGTATGCTACTGTTTTGTTCCTTCAGTTTTGCTGTGTTGCTATACTCCACAAATGAGTGAAATCATTTGGTACTTGTCTTTCTCCACCTGCTTTATTTCACTGAGCATAATACCCTCTAGCTCCATCCATGTTGCTGCAAATGGTACAATTTGTTTTCTTTTTATGGCTGAATAATATTCCATTTTGTATACCACATCTTCTTTATCTATTCATCTATTGATGGAAACTTAGGTTGCTTCCATATCTTGGCTATTGTAAATAGTGCTGTGATAAACATAGGGGTGCTTGTATCTTTTTAAATCAGGAATCTTGTTTTCCTCAGGTAAATTCCTAGGAGTGGAATGACTGGGTCAAGTGGTATTTCTATTTTTAGTTTTTTGAGGAACCTCCATATTGCTTTTCACAATGGTTGAACTAATTTACACTCCCACAACAATGTAGGAGGGTTCGCCTTTCTCAGCATCTTTGCCAGCATTTGTTGTTTCTTGTCTTTTGGATGTTGACCATACTAACTGGTGTGAGGAAATGTGACTATCTTATGTGCTTTTGGACATACCAGTCAGGAGCTAAGGCAAGAGTTCTAATTTGCATACAGAAAATATGTAATGGGATTGCCCTGACTCAGGAAGCAGGTGGTATGGAAAGAGAAAAGGGCCAAAGGCAGAACCTATCTATATTTAAAAGTTAGCAAAGAAAGAGGAGCTAGAGAATGGTTATGGGGAGATACACAAGCTGGATCCTATTAATTCGTTAATCTGTTCGAAAACACTGGTCAAGTTGGAAAGATTTGCATTAACTACCCTCTTATGCATATTTAGTTGGACAGGTTGGGGAAGGGTACTATATGAGGAAAATAACTTGAAAGAATTCTTAAGAGCATTTAAGAAAATAAGATAAAACATCTGTTACAGTGCCTGGCACATCAAAGGCATGAAAAAGAAGATGGCAACCATTACTACTGCAGCAGGCAAGAATTTGCTAGCACAAACTCAACTATGCAAAAAATGAAGCATTTCTTCATTTTCTTCAACCAACTTAAATATGCATCCCCCAGGCTGTTAGAAAATTCAAGGTCCTCATGTTTGGAGCTTCCTGGCACTCCCAAGAGTCACACCATAATCTCTGTGTGCAGATTCTGGGTACAGGCACTAGAATATACAAGTTCACAATGGTAGGAGCACTATTTTGTTCACCCAACTATCTCCACTGTCTAAACAACAATGCCTGGCAAGTGGTGAAGAGCCTCTAATTCTCTGTTAGAGTCACCGTGCAAGTCAGAATGAACATGTGAATGAGCATTTTCATGCCATTCTTGTACCCAGGCAGGGCCCAGGTATCATAATTGATACAGGCTCTCACTTACCTGCGGTTCCCATGAAACCGGTCCCACCAGAGAGAAGGGCCAGATTGCTGTCACTACTCCATGCTGGAGAATCTTCCCCCCTTTTCCCTGTAATCCTTCATTGCCATCATCATGTCATTTCCTGCCTTTCCCTTCTCAAAAACACATCACAACTCTGTTCAATAAGTTTAAAAAGATTGTGTGTAGCTTCTGTGCCAGTCCTTTTAAGTCCCCTGAAGCCAGGGATCACAAAGGGTCTGGCTGGCTAATCAGAATAAGAGAAGGAAAACACAACAAAACACAAATTAATACCCAATCAGTTGTCCTGCTATACTGTTAATGAGCAGAACTGAATGACATCAATCATTAATTTTAAAAATTGATAGTAACAACATGGATGTGTAGAAGTACACAGAATGGCACAGAACCTCCAAGACCACAAGCCCCAAATTCTTACCTCCCTGTATATGTGAGATGGCACATGAGTGCCTCTTCCTCTGGGCACTATTCCTCATGTTTCATATCTCTGCCTCCAAATCTCATTAAGTGATTCTTTTTTTTTTTGAGAGGGCATCTCTCATATCTATTGATCAAATGGTTGTTAACAACAATAAAATTCTGTATAGGGGACTCAATGCACAGTCATTAATCAACCCCAAGCCTATATCTCAA